GGGGTGGGGTGAAAGACACATGTTCTTAGTGTTCGGGCTTACACTTTGCTCCGGTGTTTTGCAGGGTATGGAGACAAATTCGACTCGCCCGTTCACTCCGCACTGGAGAGTTCGATGGACTACACGAGCGTGAAACTCGTCTGCGGCACCGACGACTACATTAAGGCGGATAGGACGGTTCAAGGAACGACCGCATGAACCTGGCTATGGACGCCGAACAGGCCACTGGCTTGCATTTTCAGCTGGAAGACCTGCAGTTGTCCCCAACGAGCTCTTCCGACAGTTCGTCGTTCCAACTAATCACTGTTGCGTTTACCAGAAAACGTAATCTCGCTTTTCGTGACAGCTTTGGGGGTTGCATCCATTTGCCTAGGGCTTTGGCCACATCGTCTGYAGGCGAAGAGCCGTTTGCCTCCCAAAACGAGTTCCACGTGTCTGGCGAGGTGCGCCCCGCACCTTCTGCGAACAACTGCTGTGTGCCAATGGCTGCTTCATTCACAACCTCTGACGCCAAGACCGAGAAGTTGGTGGGCACTGATTACTCGTCCGGGCAACAATCGGGTCCAGTGTCCTGAACATCATAGCTGCTTATTTGTCAAAACATCCTATTTTAGCTACTGTCAGCCGTGTGGGCCACTCTCAGGATATACTCACACTAGGCCCTCAAAATCACAAAATTGCAAAATGAGCGGCCAGATCAAGTCCTTCTTTTGCAAGTCTAGCAACTCATTTCGCTACTTTGAGATTTTGAGGGCCTAGTGTGAGTATGCCCTCTGAGTAGGGAATTTGACAGTGACCTCAGCGGGTAGCCTACATGCCAAGGTTAGATAGGTGGGGCCTGTTTCTCGTTGTACATGACGTCGAGCTCCAAATCCCGTTGGGGCTGCCAGTGATTCCCAACCCCTGTTGGAACTCCGTCGACGATGGCTCTACCCCCTATAAGGCATTGCAGATTGTCATTCTTGACTCTCCCCTCCCCTTAGACCTGACAGGCTCTATCAATTCTCAATTTGTGCATCCCCCCCCCGAGCCCAGGTACTTCTCACTCGGTGAGTGCTTGCACGGAAGAGGGCTAGCCCCCGACGTACGGATTCCATACTACTGTGGAAGAGCCCGTGAACCAGATGAGTCCCGTCTGAGTGAGCGGGGGCAAGGTCCCACCTGCGCAAATTAGGAGATTTCGGTCGTTGATCTTCGCTATCTACGGTCAGTATCTCTTAGTTCGTGTAAGTGGGACCTAGTAGGTCCCACTTGCGCAAATTAGGAGATTTCGGTCGTTGATCTTCGCTATCTACGGTCCGTATCTCTTAGTTCGTGTAAGTGGGACCTAGTCCCGGGTAAGAGTGGACGAGAAATTGCAGTGTCCGTGGGTGATGTGCGGTGTGCGTGTTGAGTTGGACACCACAGCCTTTGAGGGGTGGGGTGGACATCACGACCGGTACGATTCCACACCGTGTCCTGGCTGTAGCCGGCCGGGGTCGCCGGTTCGAATCCGTGTTGCACGGTGGAGGAGGGCTTACGCCCAGACGTACGGAATCCATACTACTACTCACGAGGAAGCAAAAGAAGGAACGAAGAAAATTCAGCCGTAGTGCAAAGCACCGGTAGTTATGACACGTCCTTGAACTCATTGCTTGCATTCTGTCGGTGAACGTTCTCCCTCGCCTCTCACACGAAAAATTGGCTGCTTACGGGCGCGAGCGCGCGCGCGCGCGCGCGAGAGAGAGAGAGAGAGAGAGAGAGAGAGAGAGAGATCAGTGAACGTTCTCCCTCCGCCTCTCACACGAAAGATTGGCTGCTTACAGGCGCTAGCGCGCACGCACAAGCGCGAGCGAGCGAGCGAGCGAGAGAGAGAGAGAGAGAGAGAGAGAGAGAGAGAGAGAGAGAACAGCGACATTCTAAGGGATATGGCAGAGGGTTGGTCGAGGGTGAGTGGACACGAGGCGGGAGAGAGAGAGGACGTTTTCTTAGAGATTGAGGGAGAACTCTCTTGCCATAAGCAGAGGGATAATGGTTCTGATTACCCCAGGTTGCAGACAAGGGAGGAGGACGTGTCAGATAGTGATGGTGGTATGGCGAGCGGTGTTAAGACTGAAAGAGTGGGCGCCGACTTAGAGAGTGATGCGGGGACATCACCACATGCAAGTTATTTCAAGTATCGTTCCAGTACCTATCATCATGAGAAGCACAACTCTAAGGCGAAACGTGTTAATTATGTTGCCGATGAATACGATTGGAAAGATCTTGTACACGATCCCCTGGTGCTCATCTTCAGCTTTCTTGCTGCTAGGGACAGGTTTCGCGCTGGCAAAGTCTGCAAGACCTGGTATCAAGCCTCCTGGGACCCCGTCTGCTGGAAGCAATCCGTTATTCCGTACGATTGCCTAGGCTGCCGCCATCAACATCAACGGGAGATAATCAATGTGGTGGAGAGGATCAATGCGCCGCTGGATCGAATCCGATTAAATCAGATAGCTGCGATGGATGTCGTCACACGGGGGCGAGGTAAACCGATTGATCTGTCCGTGAATTTCTGCGACATAGCTACTCTGGAGTTCTTAGCGGAAAACTGCCCCCTTCTTGAGCGATTGAAAGTCACATCTCTATGCCTGGACAGCCGGTGGATGAAGGCCGTAGATGCAATTGCGACTGGGTGCCAATCCCTTTCCCATCTCGAAATCTGGATGTGGATATCTCCTCTACACGTGGCGGAGTTCACGGCGAAACTGGCGCCTCGTCTTCCAAAGCTGACTTCTTTGGCCCTTTCGAACACCCAAATGACTGATGATTTACTGAGCGCCACTGCAGACGGCCTTCCTCATTTGCAAGCACTGACGTTACAGCTGGAGCAGTTAATCACGGACGCCAGCTTGGGCGTAATTGCCAGAAAGCTGAAGCGATTGAAAACGTTCGATCTGAAGATGTGCGGCTCAGTGACGACAGGGGGTGTGAAGTCTTTGCGCTCGCAAAGGCATGATCTGGACGTTGAAGTGTTGATGTGCTGATTGTTTTGAAGTGTTGATGTGCTGATTGTTTTGAAGTGTTGATGTGCTGATTGTTTTGAAGTGTTGATGTGCTGANAGTGTTGATGTGCTGATTGTTTTGAAGTGTTGATGTGCTGATTGTTTTGAAGTGTTGATGTGCTGATTGTTTTGAAGTGTTGATGTGCTGATTGTGTAGCGAGTAATCAAGTGTGTGTGCCGAAGTATCGACGTCATAGAGAAATGCCTACTACGGTGAATAGTAGGCAGAGAGAGGGAGAAAGAGGACAACAAACCAGGGGCTGTGAAATGCTGTTTCATCGAAGTTTCACCCACTCATAGATATCGACAAACAGAACACCATAGACAGATAGGGAGAGGGAGAAGAGGGCAACAAGCGAAGCGAAGGGTTGTGACAGACTGAACAGGGGGAGTTGTAAGTAAGAAGATGAAAAATCCAAAAAACAATTCTTGTTTTCTTTCTGTTTTCATTTTTCGCTCTGATAACTCTGTGACGATATATATATATGTATGAATATATGTATATATATATATATATATACGATATATAAGGGGCTATATATATATTGCTACGCTACTCTCCACATGCACAAAAGACAAAAGATATGGCGGTGTATCTTCCCATTGTTCCAGGGGAAGATTCATTCTTGTTTTRCACATTTGGTGRGTAGTGGAGGGAGGCCCACGGTTACCCCCGTTTGGGCTCGCCCGAATTTGTCAGCGCGAACGGCCGAGCGATCGGACCCTCCCAACGGCCGTTTGGCCGAACGTCGAATTTCGGGCTTTCTTTTTTTTTTCTAATCAGTTTTTTTCATTTCTTTTGTTCTCCCATGAGGGGGGGCGGTTGTTGTTCTATAATAATAAGGGATTTTTTTTTTCGTTTTTTTTTTCTTTTGTTCAGCGCCCGCTATTTTTCGAGTAAGAAACAAAAAGGTTACGCGGGGTAGTGGCATTGTCAGCCGAACGCTGTCCCCCCCCTCGGCCCTTTCGCCCACGCCTCGGCCCTTTCGCCCACGCGTCCTTTCCCCCCTCCCTCCGCTGCCCGCCCATAGGGGTGTGATGTCATATTCGCTATACGCAACTCGACAAAGAAAAGCATGACTGTGCTAGACTATTTCGTCGGACTGTGCGGATGTGTGTCGTTGTGATTGACTGATTGATTGATGTACGAAACGTTTGATTGATTGATTGATTGATTGATTGATTGATTGATTGCTTGATGGACTGATGGATCTATGGATAGAAGGATCTATCTCGGTCGATTGATTGATTGATTGATTGATTGATTGATTGATTGACTGATTGATTGATTGATTGATTGACTGATTGATTGATTGACTGATTGATTGATTGATTGATTGACTGATCGGTCGATCGCCTAGATCGATGTCGAAGAGAATTGAAAAACAAAACGAAAAAGCGCGTCTCCCTCTCTGTGCGTGTGTGTGGGAGTGCGTGTGGGGAAACGTCATAAAACCTCCCCGCGACGAAACCTTTGTATCCATTTGCCCCTAAACGGGGAAAAATGTGCCGCAGGTCCAAAATCACTTTTGGTGTCACTTTTGCACCCTGGCTCGGCCGGTAACGGCCGCTGTGTCGGGACAGCGCAGTCCCGAATCGTGGACTTCGTTGGAAATCTGAAGAGTGCGTGGTTAGTTAGTGTTTTTTTTTTTTTTTTTTTTTTTTTTTT